GTTATTCTTATGTGAAAACCAAAGATGATCGCTGAACCATCTCAATGGACTCACTATTCGTTTACAGCACCGATTAAGGTCAGAGACAAAATGCTGAAAAATTTCAGAAGGATTTATATGAAGCGACGAAGATCAGTGGAGCATGGCTCTCAGAATCTAGAATTGGCGCACACATAGGTATGGCTATGCTGGTAGCTTAAGCACAGCATGATTTGCCATTCAGAAGTTGCAGGGATGTTTGTCATCGACGAAAAATTAAAGAAGCACATGGCACCAGCTCTAACATAAGATGCTCTTCTTGTGTTTTAACGGGCGACTACCAAGAATCTCCTTCTATCATAGATATTCTAATATAGCACTGTCTGTGTACAAAGATCGACAAGAATCAAGAGTGAACCATACAGACTAATAAATTATATCAACTCGGTATCATCATCATCATCAGCTTTTTCGATCTACAGTGGGATGAAGGCCTCTCCGAGGTTTTGACATGAACTTCTATTTTTCTCGATTGTTATTTACCTCAGTTCAGTAAACGTCAACTGATCCCGCTGATATGCAAGACTCTCTAACTCTCTCGGGGAAACTAGTTTAATGTATCTACTACCCAGTGAAGGTCAGCTCTTCCTGCAACATACCCTGCAAATTGCCACTTCAATTCCTTTACTTGTGTACTGACATCCCAGACTCTTGTTTGTACTCTTACCAATTCGTGCATCTTTCCATTTTTTTCTTGTTATTCCGACATACTGCTTCCCATACTGCACTACTTAGTCTGCACCTTGCGAATGGCCATCTGGCTTAGGGTCCACGTTTCGCATTTTACGGATTGGCACATAATTCCCTGAAATGCTGTGCCTGTTGTACGATGCTTCGTTCTGCTTTAACCAAAAGACCGTTTTAGTAAAGAAGCAGTTCTCCTGTCGTCGATTACCTAAGAAAAGCGTGTGTATGCCAGACGGCTCGAAGCCGGTCAAGGTCATACGTTGGTACCAAGTAGAAAACGAATGCCGAGCCTACGAAGCGTTTTTCTGTCCTTCAGAGGCTCACCTCCCACCATTCGCGTTCCGCTACCGATCGGACTGCGAAGAGATGTGTTTCGGAGCGTATGGAAATCAGATGTCAGTAATTAGAAAATAAATACCTGCGGGTACGTATAGCCTGAATATGAACATTAGAGAATGCTATATAGGATGTTTTAAAAAAATTTAATGCGTTTTATTATGTTGTTGAATTATAAACGTGGTGTTAAAAAATGTTTTAAGCCATCGCTTGTGGTTTAGCATCGAAATATGTTTCAAAGCTTTAATTTACCAGCTAATCCATGTTGAGTCATAATTCTGTACAAAATTAAAAAACAAAGAAAAGCAAACAAGTGGATTCTGACCAACTGTAAACTGCTAGGCTCTTTGGAAAATGTTCCCACTGTATCATGGGCGTTTTACACAAGCAGGGTAGCATTTACTGACTTGAACGTAGGAAAAAAAACATTCAGTCGAAACAGTCAAAACTGGAAGAGATATAAAAAAAAAGAAGTTTTGGTTTAAATAAAATAAATTCATTTGATGAGTTTCCGTCAAACATTTTGAAGAGTGAGTGAGTCCAAATCACCATGAACCTCAGGCGATAAACGTAGTGTGTTTATTTTTTTATTTCCGGCCTAAATTTTAACTGAAGCTGAGCAAGAAAGTACTTGGAAGAATTTGCAAGCCAAGGATATGCCAAAGGCACACAATTAGCAGAATGCGGAACATTCTAAGCGTTGTTCCAAGGGTTCTGCCGTCCTGAATGGCGAAGTCGAAGAGGCCCGTAGTCAGATGGACCGCATGAACTCGTTGGATGGGAGACTGGCATAAGAAAAAAGGCGGCTTTGGCAAGCTTTAACCATTTCAAAGCCGAGGAGAACAAACCGATGGTGACAAGGAGGTTTAGAGCGGAAAATGTGTGAGGTGTCCCTCCAGAGTACGTTCGGAACCGGAGTGGATTAGCAGACGTAATTTCTGCCTTCTATGGCACAAGGAGATAGTGTGCTAGTCATGTGTCTCGCATGAGAGGCAATCGGCGGACATGGCCAAATACAAAACTCTTTCCAGTGGAATGCAAACTCCCATTCACTTGTCCAGGAACATGCTCGGACAGTCCAATAGCTAAATTACTTGGCCTGGGGTGGAGGTTAGAAAGACGAGAACAGGAAAGACTGGAGAGATGCCAACTTGTGTTCATGGCACAGCCGCAAAGAGGCAGATCCGAGTGCAATTAGCAATGGTCACTATCTGATGACGGGATCTGACAAAACTTCTGATGCTTTTTAAAATAGCACTGCCTTACAGGAAGAGGCTGTGTCTAAAAATAGCATGATGAGTTTGAAGGCCACGATTAAGGTCAGTTTCTGATCAAGATATAATAAATATTTTCCTTATGTCGCATATTGCCTAAAACATTAATGAAGGACTGATTTTTGCGATAAATGGAAGCTCCAGAAAATCTTAATTTCCGAATTAGGGTTGGACAAAAATAACAGGCATTACGCTACTTGAAGAGGCAAGGACTGAATTCCCAAATTTACACATGCATGTGTTCATTCCGCTAAACAGATGATGATATGTGTTATGATAAGTGTTAAAATAATAAACAATTAATCTCACTGAATATGGATATAAAACGGCGGCTTCTTCTTGAAAAGGTCTTGATGGCATAACCAAAGAAACGTTATGTTTTTCGCCTAACAGACGGTGTGGAAAAAACCAACAATCTTCTATATCCACCAAACAAATGCCTAATCTGACATTTGCTGCCCATGCAGAAACTGGATGCGTTGATTCCATTGCAAGAGCTGAATTTTTTCAACGCTACCAATGGTAGATTTTTCACTTGATGCACAAATGGGAGCTGAACGTATTTAGGCGTTATAATAGTGAAAAGTCTAAGCCACCAGACACATTGTCAGTAGAGCTCTACAATGCACAGTCCCGGATGCGAATTCAGGACTACACAAATGTGGAAGCTACCGTATCGTTTTCAAAACTATCAATAGAGCCATGATTTGATGGCAATTCTAAATAAGAAGAATGGTCTAAAAACACATGACGGTTCCATTTATTACGAAAGTTCACACGTCAGTGTTGCAAGCACTATGGCAAACATAGGCGAAGTATTTCGTATTGGTTATAATAATTACTAGTTCGCTTCTAGATATGCCAAAACAATACTGTTAAACATTAAATATAGTGTATTATTCAAGGTGACATAACGGCCTGGCCGTTGCAGGATGGCAACATACCATTAAGGCAAATTTTCCCGTTCTGCTTCTGAAAGTAAAAAATCTGAATGGACGCTCTTCACACAATCCTCTGCCTCCGTTACACACACGAATCAAATCCGATATATCCTTAATCGTATGACACGTCACTCAAAATCACCAGTGGCAGAAGCTCTTAACCTCAATGTGGACGATAAGCAAGCGGCGGCATATTTCAATATGGTGAGGCGATTATTTCCGTTAGAAAACACGCTGTTCGTCAATGCCTTGCTCAGCAAATACTGATCAAGCTGATGAATCAGCACATGAATGTCATTTTCCAAGACATTGAAAGCAACACAGGTAGTTAAACTTTGTTTACGAACATTCAACGAACGACAAGGCTGGTGACTAAATTTAGCATATTCTCATATCAGTGGAAGGAACGAAGGAGAAGAAACCAAAGAGTAACAAGATCAAAGTTTAGAGGAAAATGTCGCATGAAGAATTTGAAAACATGAAATGAAATTTGCAAGTGGTAGCTCTTTTCATTTCAGCTCTGTATTTCCATATTGCCGCTTCTACTTCATTTCTATGAATCTGAAAGGACAGATATATTCATGACGATATAACATTGCAACTGAACGATAAACAAATTTTGCATGCCAAATAATATATGCAACCAAATATAAATCTATAATAAAATGCATTTTGCCACCTTGTTTGGTGGTTTATTACAGTCATATAGATTAATCGAAAGTCAGTAGTCCTTCTTTCCTGCAGAAGTTGAAGAATTCGTTGTTTTCATCTCGCACAATATCCACTGCTGCATTGTAGTTTGCATTCAAAGTCTCCAAGAATCGGTCTTTCATTAACTTTGCGTCCGGGGCATCAGGAGGCAGGATTTCATCAACCATTGCACCGAATCCAATAAGCAAGCATGTCTGAAAGGCGAATTCGATTTTGTACGCCGTCTTCAGCTGCTGCAATGTTGGAAATTTTTGCCTCTGTGCCATTCGAGAGAAATAGTGTTCGATCAAGTCATTTTCATATGTTTGCCGAATCGCCGCACTGATGCTGCAACTGAAGAGATGAGCCAGGTCTTCAACGCAAGAACCGCAGTGGGACAGTTGCCAGTCAAGTAGAGCCACTACCTCATCGCCAGCCCGACCCTCCATTAACTTTCTGAACATGATATTGTTGCTCCACAGGTCTCCGTGGACGCACACCGTCGGCAGCATGTCATTGAAGTATCTTTCTTTGGCCAACAGAAAGCGTTCTGATTGGATCTGTTTAATTAGCGTTGAACTGATTCCACTGGAAAATACTTGCTCCTCAAGTGTAGCGGTGATTTTGTTGCGTTCTTCTTCCGGAATCTGAGTAAAGATTTTAACACTTTCTTCATAGGTGGGCAAAATTTGCCTCCATTTTTCAGGTGTTTCCAGAGACCAAATTTG